ATGGCCAGCAGCTGCTGTGGGGTCAAGAAACAGAAACTCAACAATTCTATGCCTTCTATATGTAACGGATCTTTACAATCTGGACATTCTAGTTACCACAAAAATGGCTATTCCGTCGTGCTGCCAGAAATGTGTTACTTCTGTTTCGACGTTCTTCACGGACATTTACACAACTACGAGCTGGCGAGAGCTGCCCCACCTTTCACGAATGAGGCCTAGTGAGTATGACCCACTTCCCCAAACCGTGTCACTGACATCAGCAAGGCTTTTCTGGTCTGTCCTCGACTCCATCCTCCACAGTTTCATCTCATAATTAATTATTTTATAATGCAGATAATTATTTGCTAGCTACTTTATTAATATATTTTAATTGGGGCTTTTTCCTAGGTTGGAGGAAATAAATCACGGACTCGCTCATGTTAACACATGGGGGGTGGCAGGTTTTGTGGTATGGTGGGTGAGAAATATCATTTCATAAACAGTTATCATTATCTGATGATATCAAACACAGACCATGTCTTTTCCCACGTTGTCTGTATTTTATTTTACAGTATGATAAGTGATGGATACTTGGACTCTGTTATGAAAGGCTGAGATTGAAGGACAGAAGTTGAAATATAAATCTTTTAACAAAGGCAATGTTAGGCATGTCTATATTTAGAACCAGGTCGGTGATGAATATGAAACACTATCAATAAGGAAATATTTTTCTTCCACAAATTCTCTGCTTCCCACTAATGTCTTCTTTGTTTTATGTTGAAGCATTCATTGCTTTAGAAGATGTCTGGTCCAATCTTAGGTACATATTATCTGCAGGTGGGTGTGGAAAAAACCATACCTATCAACTACCTGTGTGTGTTTGTAGGTTTTTTTTTTAAGGGTCAACATATTCAACAGTTTTAGCTAAAATTGGTTTCCTGCTTGTACCCACCACAGGTGGGAGGAGATGCTGAGGTGAGATTAGTGTTAGACTGTGGGACTCCACCACACCCCTCCGCACCACACCCTTATTGTAGAACTGCTTCAAGGGTGGTTTTCATACATTAATATATTTGTTCCCTGTAGTTGGGACTGTCACATTCATTCTTGTCTCTTATTGTAGGCTTATTGTTTAGACTTCACATTTATTATTTCCCATATCAATGACATTATCAAATTCAGTCAAGTCTCAAATTGTTGAGGTTTATGACTTTATAAATGTACCATATTGTAAAGAATGTCAGATTAATTCAATTACAATATTGTTAAGACGGTCAAATATATTCCTGGTCCATATTGTTGAGATTTGTGACTTTATCTATGCCTCATATTGTTGAGATGATCGCATTAATAAATGTCCCATAATGTTGAGACTGTCATATTCATTCCTGGTCCATATTGTTGAGGTCTGTGACCTGATCTGTGCCTCATATTGTTGAGGTTTGTGACCTGATCTGTGCCTCATATTGTTGAGGATTGTGACCTGATCTATGCCTCATATTGTTGAGGTCTGTGACCTGATCTGTGCCTCATAGTGTTGAGGTTTGTGACCTGATCTATGCCTCATAGTGTTGAGGTTTGTGACCTGATCTATGCCTCATAGTGTTGAGGTTTGTGACCTCATATTGCTGAGGTTTGTGACCTGATCTATGCCTCATATTGTTGAGGTCTGTGACCTGATCTATGCCTCAAAGTGTTGAGGTTTGTGACCTGATCTATGCCTCATATTGTTGAGGTTTGTGACCTGATTTATGCCTCATATTGTTGAGGTTTGTGACCTGAACAATGCCTTATATTGTTGAAGTTTGTGACCTGATCTGTGTCTCATATTGTTGAGGTTTGTGACCTCATATTGCTGAGGTTTGTGACCTCATCTATCCCTCATAGTGTTGAGGTTTGTGACCTCAGCTATTCCTCATATTGTTAAGGTTTGTGACATCCATGTCTCATATTGCTGAGGTTTGTGACCTCATCTGTGCCTCTTATTGTTGAGGTTTGTGACCTGCTCTATGCCTCATATTGTTGAGATGGTGACATTCATTGATGTTTCATTCTGTTGTCCTATGCCTAGAGTGGCTTGCATTGCTGGATAAAACTAACATCGGATACATATTATATCATGGATATCCGTTTGAGTTATTGGGTTGTTCGGGGTAATGAGCTAGATAATAGATTGGCTGCTGCCATACCTATGAATAGTGAGCTACTTGATAATAAAGCAGACAGGGTGAAGACTGTCTGCGAAGAAGTGGACAGTGCAACTGATCAGATTAATCATGTCCTCCAAAGAGTGAGCAGAGGGTTTGGGCAGTATTCAGAACATTTAACCAGGTTACAGTCATCACTGTTAGCTTGGGAACTCTTCATTGGCTAATGAGGAAGGTGACAGAGCATGTGTGCGAATGCCCAGGGTGCCGTAATGTCAGTTTTTGTTCATACTGTCATGTTCATTCGTGTCCCACATTGTTGAGGTTTGTTGTGTCACATATTGTTGAGGCAGTTACACATTTAAGTCCTATGTCCAGAAAAAAATTTGCCACATCGAGTTTGGTTCTGGTTGTCTTAAAACTCTTACTATTAAATAATTGCACATATCAATGTTCCATACGCTTTATCACACTTTCCCTGTCAGTTTTCTTCACTATATCATACTGTCTGTGTCACTGTTCCGTCGCTTTATCATACTGTTTGTGTAACCACTGGTTTAAACAGTTTAAACTAACAATAGAGGGTATATTCTGAGACAAACTGAACAAAATCACAAATGATGCTCTCAATTGGGAAATGACTGGATAAAAGTAGAGAGAACATCCAGGAGAAACTCTACAAATGCTGATGAGAGAGGCTCGATGTTTTATCCTCGATTCCATATGTGATATCAGAAGGATTGTAGAAGAATGAAATGGAGGAATTGATATAGTAAATAATTATGAATCTTTTATGGCATTTAAACAGCACAACAGGATGTAGATGACCAAATGCTGTCAGGCATTATTATTTTTTTACATGTGGTTTCCTGGTTGGTGGGTCTGTCCCAGAGTCTTGTTAGTGTTGTCTGCGATTGCAATTATGTTAGTTTTTGTTACGTATGATTTCATGGTTTTTGGGTGTATTCCAGAATCTTGTTAGTAATATCTGTGATTATCTTTTTTGTTGTTGTTACAAATGGTTGGTGGGCATCTTCCATAATCTAGCTAGTATTGTCTGCGATTATGTTATTGTTCGTTACATATGGTTTCCTGATTGGAAGGCATCTTCCAGAGCCTTGTAAGTATTGTCTGCGATTATATATATGTATAAATATATATATCTATATACATAAAGTTTCCTGTTTGGTGGGTGTGTTCCAAAAAAATGTTAGTTTTGTTAAATATATATCTATATACATAATTTCTTACATATTGTTTCCTGTTTGGTGGGTGTATTCCGAAAAAATATTAGTTTTTGTCTGTGATTACGTTAGTTTTAGATATATAATTTCCTAGCTAGTATGTTCCTGTGATTTTTGTGTGGTCTGAGATTTGGTGTTGTTGTCAGTGTTAGCATTTCTGTAGTTATTTACTTTTTAAAAGCGGTGCTGATGTTTTGGATTAATTTAAACATAAAGTATATTTCTTTACAGTCCACTGTTTGTGACCTGGAAGTTAGGAAGAGAGCGAAGACTTCGTGGATGTATAGGCACTTTCTCGCCAACTTCTCTACACAGTGGTCTCAGGGAATATGCAGTAACCAGGTAATAAGATTGTGTAACACACAGGAAATACTGGCTCTGAATTTATATAGCATATGGTGCTCTTCTTCTTTGTGTTTGGTTTCATAAGCTCTGATCAGACTATCAGGTGGGTTGCCTCTATAAACTCGCATGTCATTAGCAGGTCCTTCATGGTTCCACATAGCTTGCTCTGCACACTTTGCTCTTGAGGCCAGGTGTTTTTTCGAAGTTGAATATGATACTCAAACTATTTTTTATTGATTAATTTTATAACGTACAGTTTCTGCACCATACTGTGTCATTTTTTTTGTAACCTCAGCTGTAAATGTTGACTCTAGGAAATAAAGGCGTGTTTCTTTACTTAGTTGTGTAGAATTAGGTAGCTTTATGTTGCACACATTGTGTTGACATATTATTTAGAGTGTTGCTTCTCCCAGTGTTTCTGAGTTGTTTGCTCTTGGCAGCCTAATCCAATGAAGGCGTGGGTGCTCTGTAGTTGCTTCAGGGACCAACAGAGTGAGCTTTAAGTGGGGAAAATGGAGGGGGTAGCCTTTCCCTTGAATATGAAAGTGTAAGGCACTCAAAAAGCCATTTGTTTCTTAAGGGTGTGTTCGGTGTCTGCATAGGGAATATTGACTACAGGTAAAAGTTAAGTGGCCATTGACTCAGTCATGCCTGGTTAAAGTGTGAAAATTATGCTGGTTTGTCATGATGAAGGGAGATTGTGGGTTGCATAGTGACTCGACTATCACCTGTCAGCCTGAAGGTCTAGAGTTAAAACCTGCATCTAGCCAGATTAATTTCAGAATTGATCTTGTTTTTTTTAAATTCATATCCTACTTCACCTGATGTCACAGAACAGTCCAACATTTTATAGGGTGGTAAGACTGGGTTTGCCGGCTTTCTGGTGCTTTTAATGACCCCAGAACATCTCGAACTGGCCCTAACCCTGACCCACCAACGTTTCACGAGAGACTGCAGCCTAGGTCCCAGGACTGCATGCAGTCTAACTACCACCCCATGAAATATTAGACTGTCCCGTGACCTGTGGATTTCCCTGTTTGGAGTAGGATATAAATAAAACACCATTCTTGGTTTCTAGTTAAACCCAACCTAAAATTGGTACCATCTGGTAAATACATGACCAGCTAGATGTGGTGAAGGTCCTTTGGGAGCAGGTAATCATTGTAGAAACACAGACAGAGATCCTTTGGGAGCAGTTAATCATTGTGAAAATACAGACAGAGGTCCTTTGGGAGCAGGTAATCATTGTGGAAATACAGACAGAGGTCCTTTAGGAGCAGGTAATCATTGTGGAAACACAGACAGAGGTCCTTTAGGAGCAGGTAATCATTGTGGAAATACAGACAGAGGTCCTTTATGAGCAGGTAATCGTTGTGGAAATACAGACAGAGGTCCTTTAGGAGCAGGTAATCATTGTGGAAACACAGACAGAGGATCTTTAGGAGCTGGTAATCATTGTGGAAACACAGACAGAGGTCCTTTAGGAGCTGGTAATCATTGTGGAAACACAGACAGAGGATCTTTAGGAGCAGGTAATCATTGTGGAAACACAGACATTTCATTTGCCTGGAAAGAATGGTGCAGCGGGGAGTTACTAGTTGCTCCGAACGACACTGTACGCTCAGAGAAAAGGCTAGAGAGACATACATGGGGCGAGGAGGTTTTGGGTGGGGGGGGGGGGGGGTGGGGGGTGGGGTGTGAGCGGTTTTGAAATGGAGTTTAAAAAAATAAGGAAAAAAAAAAAAGGGGGGGGGGGGGGGGGGGGTTGAGCAATTTTAAAACTGAGTTGGGGGTATGGGGCAGGAGTGGTTGAGCAGTTTTGAAACTGAGTGCATTTGTGATGGAAATAAGCCATTATATTATATAGTTTTTCCAGTTTAATTATAAATAAAGGAATAGACTATTTGTAGAACAAAAAGCCAAGGACTATTTTTTTGGGGGGGTTTTCATAAGTAGTTTGTAGATCCACAGTTAAAAATCTAATTAATTTCGATAACACTGGCATCTGATTACAAACACAAATTAAGAACACACTCTGACAAAAGCATACCGTTGCTGCAGAATCTATGTGGGGGGGGGGGGGGGGGGGGGGGTGGGTGGATATTTTGCAATGTACTCAGTGGTAGCGTAGGGGTCTTGCCATATATTCAAGACAAAAAAAAAAAAAGGTTTTATACCACTGTTGTAGAGACTTTGTTCCCACCCAGTTTCATTTTTTGGCACTTTACCATTTTGTTCCTGACTGTAGTGAATAGTGTTCCATTGTGCTTTAGGGATTAAAGCCAGGAACAAGGTTCCTCCTCTCCATAGCACACAGCTGCATAGACCGGTGTTGCTGTAGGGAGGAAAGCAGTCACTGCGATCAAGTGTGAGCTGTCGAAATGCAGTGACTTACATAAATGTTGGAATTGTGGGCTAGTATCATATATCCAGTATGCCTCCAGATGTAGGGAAGAGTCATCCCCCCCCCCCCCCCCCTCATTCGTTTCTGTATCATGAGAATAAGAAAACTGGAGTACATTGTGACAGTAGGAAAGTTGGAGGGGAAGAGAGGCAGAGGGAGACCGAGAGAGAACATGCTGGACAGTTTGACATCATGCCATGGAGGATCATCCCTGTCAGTTTATTGAAAGTTCAAGAGACAGAAGGTTGGGATTAGACATGACTAACACCGCCACACGGCCTGGACTATAAGGAACAGAAGATAAAGAATGAGAGAGTGAAAGAACTATCACATGTTGCTGTATTGCTGATTTAAGATTCAACATCATGTCATACCTATAGATGCTGCATCTCCTGCAGCAAATCTCTTACGATGTAGACGCTGACTTGTCCGGTAGCTCCGTGGTTTTGCACACATCATACTCTTTCTCTGATGTGTCCTTTCTGGCTGTTAGTTGCATATCCTTTACAGCACGTTGCAGAACCAACCCCAGCATTTTTTGGCTGTCGTGGTTTTTCTAGGCAAATTTTACGTTCTGTAGTTTGCCATTACTCTTTGACGTTCGGCTCGCGGTACTATTGTCAAAACCAATGCAAGATGTTCTGCTGCCAAATTGACCGCAGCTGGGTTCCAACCTGGCAATATGAAGCACATTCACAGTGCCTAAGCCATAGATGGTGATGTCTTGCATTGGTTTCGACAATGTTGCTGAGACCTGATGATTCAGAAGCAATGCAAATTCATTATTATCATCATCCATTCTCTTTATGCCCAGTGGCAAATGAGGCTTCAGAGAGGACTTTCTATGTTTTCCTGTCCTGTGCAATCTTCAGTGCAGTTTTCCATGTCAGAGATGCAGCATTCAGGTCACTCTCCATCGTTCGTCTCCATGTTGTTTTTGGGCACCCATTTTTCTCTTTCCCTCTGGTGTCCATGTGAGAGCTATTTTGGCAGGTATATCAGGATTCATTCTCATAGCGTGGCCAAGCCATTTCCATCTTCTCTTGGTTATCGTACTGTCTAGAGTTTCTTGGTTTGTGACTTGAAGTAGTTTAGTGTTTGAGATAATGCAAATTACTGAAACTAAAATTTACCAAGAGAAACTACAACATTAAAAAAATGCTGGAGTTGGTTCTGCAAGCTACTGGAAGTGACATTGCCTAGAAAACCACAACAGCCATAAAATGTTAGGGTTGAATCTGCAACATTACATCCAACAAGAATGGGAGAAGTATTATCATTTAGTTAATTTGTTAGTTGGGATATGATCATTGCCCTCCGGACATCTCCGTAGGTGCTCAGATCCTTCCTTCAATATGGACCCCAGCATCCTGTGACTAACAGTGCCAGTTCTTTGTTGATTGATAAGTCTTTTTGTATGCCAGGTGTGTCTCTTGCTTTTGGCTATGCTGATCTTAACTCTCGAGTCTTTCATTCTGGTGAGCGATGTAGTATTGTCATTTACTTTTATTCAAATACTTTTATTGCATGTTCTTTTATTGCATGTACTTTTATTCAAGTACTTTTATTGCATGTACCTCATTTGTTCCACCACAGTGCAATGAAGGACAGCCGATTCGATCCAATCACCAAAGAGGAGTTTCCTAAGCTTCACTGTTCTGTGTCTCTACTGACTCATTTTGAGGATGCTGCAGATTACATGGACTGGGAGGTGAGAAGTTTCCAGAAGGAACCCTTAGTTTGCAGCTGCTTCTTGGCCGACTGCTCAGCTAAGTCATATGTTTTTTTAAAAATGATGTTGTTGTATTGTAATGTATATACAGAGTCAGCCATAAAAATGTCTGCTTCAACAGATATGACTTTGTATTTAATTGCGTTTTGTTCACCCTTAACCTTATAGCCCAGAGAAGCTGCAATGCCAACACTTTCCAATTTGGCTATAATAGTTTGTTAACAAGCAGCATAGCTAAAACCGTGGGTATCGTATGTGTTTGCTCTTGCTCAAACATTTAGGGGGACCGGAATCAATTATACTTACTAAAAATAACATGTGGGCGGGTTTCCTTCTGAACTTTTTAAAATGGAAATTATGACATCATAAATAGATTATATTTACTAAAAATAACATTTGGGTGGGTTTCCTTGTCAACCGCTTTTTAAAATATAAATTTTGACATCAAAGGATTATATTTACCTAACATTTGGGCGGGTTTCCTTGTGAACTGCTTTTTAAAAAGAAATTATGACATCATAAAATAGATTATTTTTACCTAAAATTTGGGCGGGTTTCCTTGTGAACCTCTTTTTAAAATAGAAATGACGACATCATAAATAGATTATAGTTACTAAAAAAAACTTTTGGGTTGGGCGGGTTTCCTTGTGAACCACTTTTAAAACAGAAATTAGGACATCATCATTTTCAATTGACACTTAGTTTGTGTTGGTGAGGTTAATAGGTCAAGCATGAGTCACTGTGTAAATCTTTTGAATGGTCAACTTAAGATAAGTCAGATGTTGATGAGAGAAGACAAAGATGCTGGACTCGATTCCATCCATGACATCGGAGCGACTGCGCAGGATAGAGCCTAGTGAAAAAAAGACTGCGAGCCCTAAGTGACATATATTGGCACAATAGGACGATGAAATGAAAGAGCTGTCAGTTAATTCTCTGCTGAATTAGTGTTTACTGATAACTCCTCCTATTCTGTAGAGAAATTACTATTGTTTTGGTCCATAAATGGAATGGTTATGATTTTTCTTATAAGCTGTGTAAAATGATTTATTTAAAAAAAAAGGATTTTTCGGGTAGATCCTAAATACAGGTCACTGACATTTTTCCTAGGTTCATGGGTCGAAAGAGGCAAAAGAGCATTAGGCATGTTGTGTTGTAGTTTACAGATAGTCTGCAGTATCTGCTCCTTTTAACCCATTAAACCAGATTCTAGCTAACTCTTAATTAGTTGAGTTTAAACAACGGGCTTGTTATGGGACAGCAAATCTGTTATCATTCCTCTTCCTCATATTCGGGTCTCTAAACCCACACTTCGAGGATTTTGTTTATAGGTAGATAGAGTTGCAGTAACAGAGTATAATACTATGTTCTCTCTCAAGAAAGGGGGAGGTGCGTGGTCTCAAGACATGGTGTCCAACTCGAGTGCTAGCAGTTGCGGGTCCAATCCAAATGATGCACTAATGGGTTACTACCTGTGTGCCATGATGTTGATCCGTTGTTCAAACCTCAAACATCTCTCAAAAAAAAGAAAAAAAAAAGATAGATAGATGTCACTCAGTATATCATGGCAAATCAGCTACACTGGTAGCTTCTCTGAGAAATAGAATGCATTATGAACCCCACAGGAGATTTTGGTTAACTTTGCCAAAACAGTAGTTCATCTTAATAATTAGCGGTAGAATGCTAATGGTAACCACTCTGATCACCTCATGTCAGTCTAGGTAGGTAGGTAGTTGTACCCCACCTAGACATCACACAAGCGATAAACACCCGGTGACACAAAGTGCTACAATGCAGATGAAGATCACCCGTGGAGTGGTCCCAGAAACCCCTTTCAGCCAGGGTGGGGCTTCAAAATAACAAAAAAAAAATTGCATCCCACAAGGGGACGACTTGGATGATGAAGCTAACTTGTATTCACCCCTTGATACTTTAGTATTTATTACGTTTTATACATTTTGTTGGCTAAAATGTGCATACATTTTTTTGGCAGACTCTGTATAGGGGATGTTATTAGAGCATTGATAGTATAGGTGATGTATTTTAATGATGTTTATAAATGTAATTTTTCATTGGAATTTGCAGTTTCTAGATGATTGTGTTCCATTAGCGTATAGGGAATTACAGCCTATGACGATGGCAAATGTGACTATCAAAACCTGCCAGCATTCCTCTCCGTAGTGAACAACCTGGGCGATATTGTAGAGATCATTCCTGCCCATGCAGCATGAACCCTCTCTCAGCCTGCTATGTTCATAATTCTGAAATACAAGGTTCGATTCAGCTGCTGGTGATTTGGCAGCAGGCTGTTTTGCATTGAATTCAACAGTGGTATGGAGTGCTGACTCTTCAGAAAGCAGTGGCAAACTATTAAACTATTATTAATTGCCTGGTAAACTCACAAGCAGCAACAAACACTGTTTTTTTTTGTTTGTTCAGCAGTGTCATGTAAGGGATACAGCTAACTCATAACTGACTCTGATTTAAAATGCAACATCAGTTGGAGATCAAAAGAGTAGGCCATGAGACCATTGCTGTAGTAAAATTGTTGGGAAAAAGCCTACCCATGGGTGGATAGAGCCTGTTACCTTTGATGGAATTTGTATTCAGGATATAAACCAAAAGCAAGTGCATGCCAAACCTGGGCATACTCCTCTCTGGAATCCAAGAAATGCTTAGCTACGTGCAGTTTTGTCAAAAGTGAACAAAGTAGATGGAAGGGAACAAATAACGAAGTCAGGCACACAGAGTACCTTCCCTTCCCATTGATGCCTTGTAATACAGGGTGTCTTCTATGTTGCAAAGGTGTCAGGTTTTCTTTATTGTCAATGCTTTAAAACCTCTCTCTATCCTATCTTGTCACTGCTGATGTGCACGATTATTTCCATGTTTTGCTGCGTGTGCGATGTTTCGGGAGTGCAGATACTGTTGTGTTTTTGTTTTATGCCTGCGTGCCTTTTCAGTGTGTTCTCTGTCTCATGGGGAAGCCCCACCAACAAACGTAGAAATACAAAAACATCCAAGTTTTGATACTCATGAGTCATCGCGCCTGTGGTACTTCCCCCTGAAGTACTTCTTGCTTGTACACAGGCACCTGCGGTGTGTCAGATAGACTCACCACAACACAACCTCCCACATACATTATGTACGCTGACCAAATGCCGAAGCAAACACCTTTGCAACATAGAAGACACTGCATCACAACAAGGCATCAGTGGGAAGGGAGGTTACTGTGGGCCTGACTTCGTTACTTATAATGATGGACGATTTACTAGAGAAATAAAAAAAAACATCTTGACAAGTAGTTAGACTAAGGTGGTAGTAGTAACTAAAGCAAATTTACCCTCAGATATTCTTGCTCATCAACACAGATTTTCAATCATTATTTTTCATTAACTCATTAAGTATGCTCAGGAAGATTTGGAAAAAAAAAAGAATTTTTTTGGTGCCAGAGCGTTTAGGTGTAAAAGGAAATGGGAAAAGTTGATAGTCTTGCTCATCAACACAGATTTTTACTCAGATAATCTTTCTCATTGACTCATTAAGTATGCTTAGAAAATTGAAAAAAAAAAAATGATTTTGGTGCCAAAGTATGTAGATGTAAAAGGAAATGGAAAAAGCTGCTAGGCTTGTTGACAAGACTACTTTGACAAGTGGGTGAGCAGTGGACCTTGCTGAAGCAACCAGTTATGAGAGGCAAGGAAACTTAAAAAACCAGATGATTGCATCTGCAAACTTGATAAGACTGCAAGAACATCAAGTCACAAGTTGAGCCAGATGAGAGCGCTATGCAGTTGCCCTACACAGAATAGAAATCCCACACAGAAATGGTGCCGTAAGTCACCTGAAGCTGAAGGTTGTCCTGAAGAAGTAATTTGAGCACTTATGGACTGAATGGGTCAGTATGCATTGAGATTATCTATTTTCTGACTAACTAAACAACAGAACAGGAGAACCACAAGTTGTGTATTTTATCATCATTCAGCACGTCCTTTACAGAACGTTGCTCTCGTCATGGTACACATGAGGATCTTTTTCTGTAGCTAACTCTCCAGCCCTATGTACTTTCTTAGCCAATGCATCCTCAGTGTCTTGTCTCCACCTGTGCATAGGTCTGCCCCTGTGTTGTTTTCTAGAAACTGCACCGTCAGTCATCACCAAATATCTCCAGGCCGCCAAGACATTTAACATGGCCAAAATACCTCATCTTTCGTGACAGCATGCTGTTTATGAGCCAATTCTCCTCGATGCTCAGACCATGTCGGATGTCAGTGTTGTTCTCATATTCTTCAGCATGCATTTTACCTAAGGTTGACTTCCTTTTTGCAAATTTCATCAAAGGTAATAGGCTCTAACAGCCTGTGAGTAGATTCTTTCCTAACAGTTTTGCCCAGGCAGTGGCCTTAAAGCCTACTCTCTGTGGGTTTCCAACATGTACACAACAGTGGTTGTAGAAGTATCATAGGCAGCTCTAGGGAGGCAGATAACATGAATGGAAACATACAACTGCAACATATGATGTTTCACAAATGACTTCATTCAAAGATGGTATTGATACAATGACTTCATGTATTCTAACCTCCAGTATGTATATTCTCATCTTCATCACATAATTCTATTCTTGATTACATATATTATACGCCTCATTACACAAACTGTTCTTCGCTACATAAATTGTACCTTCATGAGGTTTATTAAAATCTTTAATGTATGTTTTAGAATGACATATATTCTGTTTTGATTACACATATTCTGTTCTTCGTTACTCATAACCTTATAGTCCATGCCTTGTCATACTGGTAGTCATGCCTATTCACAGCCTTCTGTCTGGCGTGTCCCCCCCCCCCCCAGTCACTTCTGATACAGATGTTCTCCAACACCGTGATGTCAAGAGTGTCAAGCATTTTCGCTCACACTCTCCCTCTTCCCTTTCAACTTTCCCAAGTCATGATGTATTCCATTGTTCTCCTTCTCATGATATGACCAAAGATTGTCTCCTAGTCTGGGTAATCAACTCCCTTTTTGAGGTGCATTTTTTTTCCAAGACATCTTCATTGCTTATTTTGTCCGTCCGGGGTGTTCTCGTCATTCATCCATGAAACCATATCTCTGCCACTTTCACATATTTTTTTTTCAAAAAATTAGGTGGCGAACTGTCCATGATTGGCTTCTACATATCAGGATCGGAAGTGTATACCTTTTGAAAACAATAAAAAAGCTTGCACAAAATATTTTACTAATAATTGTCTTCTTTCTAGCGTTCATTGGCTGTGAACTCTGGTGGAAAGTTTTGGTTGTTCGTCCACCTCTGGACTTTAGGCTTGGTCCAGAATTTGAGTTTTATATGCACATCTTATTTATATGCAGACTGTTGGTTTCCTTGACTCTCAGGCAGATGTACTCTGAATGAAACACACCCAATTATTCGCCTTTTGAGGGGAAGGGGGAGAACAGTGTTGTCTTATTCTGTTTTTTTTTTCCCCAGTATGGGAACCCGCTTGGGGATACTAAAAATCTAATAATCATTATTTGTAATCTGTTATTTACTACATGTAAAAATGTACCTTGTACTGTTAGCATGTCGACTCTTTGTTGGCTGCTGAAGAAGGGGATGGAGCATGTGTGGGATTGTCCTGAATGCAGCGATGTCAGTTCTTGATTCATTCATTCATACTACATGTATTCCACACATTTATTCTACTCAGTACATATATTCTATTCATAATTACGTGTATTTCATTCCTCATTACATATATTTTACTTCTCATTACATATATTCTACTCCTCATTACATATATTCTGTTCACAAGATTTTGTGAGGAAATACATCAGTTAAATTTTGTACACTATCTGTTTCCGTAAGGAAGTATACACAAACAAACTAAGGGCATAAGCATGTTAGTTTCTATGACTTCATTCTTAGATTAGTACTAACGTCTTTTACATCATCTCTTTTGGTCTGTGTCTGGCTTTGTGGCTTAGAAGTTAGTGAACGGGGTTAACAATTTCATAATCCTTAAGTAAATTCAGTAATGGCGGGAGGTGGAAAAAAAGATTTTCGTGGTTTAGGACAGTGGTACGAGAGTTGCACCGTGAAAGCCATGGGGCCACACCATGTAATATTCCCAAAGACAGCAGTAGTACACTGTAGCCAGACTTTACTATGGAAACAGCGCCAACATTTATTTTAGTTGACACTAACTCTCTGTTGGTCTGCCACTTCCTCCATTGTTTAGTTGTAGTTTCAACCACACTGCAGTCGGGTCATCCCACACTTGCTCCATTCCTATACCAGCTAAAATGAAATAAAATGTCCCTCATTGTCCCATTTGAAAAGACTGGTGAACATCACGCCAGCTGCCTTTACTTCCAAAGAATTTACCCGGTGCCCATTTAAGACCGGGTCCACTTGAGTCAGGGTTATTTTCAAAAGAAAAGTGCAGCTCCTTTTGGATTTAAACCCGTAACCTTTGAATCTGCAGTCGAGCTTCTAGCCGCTACACCGCAGTGGCTCCCTATGTTGTAAAATTTGACCAGTTAAGGATTGGATGAAGTTCGATGTTTTGAGTCAAAAGACATAGATATCACAGCCTAGCTGTAAACCACAGTGCAGTGTGCGAACTGTCCTTCTAAGGGTGGAAGAAATAGAAGAAGAAGATATAATACATATTTTCCTCTCTTAAACTTACCTCATGCGGTCTCTAGCTATTCCATATCTCAGTCTGTCTCTTCTTCTTTTTCTGATACTTATGGTTATCGGCCAAGCCTCTTATCTTATCACATGACATGCCCAGCGTAGTTGGTTAAACCTGACTTTGCGGCAACCGGGCGACAAACTCCTGGTCTGGGTTCATGCCTGAGGTTTGCAGAAAAGCCACATTTCTCCCAGATTTATGGTATCTATCATGGAACCAAGGCCAAAGGATTGCCATATCCATTGTACCGAGCCAAAGGGTTAAAAACTCATGTTTTATGGATATAGAAAACAAAAATCACATGACAGAGAAGACTATCATTTTTACTCATATAATATTTTACAATATACAGTATGTACGGATATACACTCAGACAGTTACTGGTGACATCGGAATTGGAACTCTTCGTTTGCTGCTGAAGATGGGGACGGAGCGCTTATGGGAGTGTCCTGAGTGCTATGATGTCGATTCTTAATCAACATTCTACTTTTGTTACCTTTACTAAGCAGTCTTCTTCTTATTCTTCTTCATTGAGTTCACCGATTGTAAACTCCAGCGGAAAGTTCCGATTGTTCGTGCACGTCTGGACTTTAGACTTGTTCCAGAACGTAAATTTTACGGATCTGCGTGCAGACTGTTGGTTCCTTGCCTCTCAGGCAGATGCACGCCTAATTAGTCAACTTTTTTGACATACTTGTTAGCGACGCATAGCGTCTCACCCCTTGGCCACCCCTCAGAGCGACACAGGGATCTCTCCAAGCAGTCGTTAATTACTTTATGTGTCCAGCATATTAACCACACTCATCTCCAGTGTGGTCCTGATAGCCTGCGGGTGCTTACTTTATCATTTCTTTGACTAATTTATTTGAGCATTTAATGTCTCCCCCTTGAAACACAAATTATATCCTCTCTGTAGTTTCTGTATTATGCATTAGATGAATTGTGTTATTTCTGTATTATGTATCAACTCGTCTGTTTCACAGCTGGGTGCTCATGGAATTCGTATAGAATTCATCAATGAAAAGGGTCACAAAAAGACAGCAACCTACCTTCCTGAAGTTGCAGTCGAACAAGGTATAGTGTGTTTGTCCTTGTTTAATGTTTTCTTCTTCTTCTTCTTCTTCACGTTCACCAGCTGTAAACTCTGGAGGAAAGTTCTTGTTGTTCGTCTACTTTTGGGCAGCAGTCCCGTTCCAGAACCTGATTGTTGCGTGTGCATCCGCTTTACAGATCTGACTCATTTATATGCAGACTGCTGGTTCCTTGCCTCCCAGGCAGGTGCACTCCGACTTCGAAGGAAGCTCCCAATTAGTCGACTCTTACGACATGTTTTTGGGTAGGCAGTGGGTCTATTCTTGTTTTCCCTATAATAGGGCCCCGGAACCCAATGTTTTGCTACCGGAACATACCCTGAAAAGTAAAGGCAGCTGGGATGATATTGACCACATCATCCATAAAGTGCTGTTTGGTCTCAAAAATTCAGACCTGGTGCAGTGTGCTCGGCTCTTGAAAAGGGTAGTTCGCTCACTTTACAAGTTCATTTGATAACGGATGTGATAAGAAAAAAGTGTTTGTTTTGTTTGTTCGTTTCAACACTGATGTTGTAACTGAACCTATTTCATTGTTTTATTTATTAATTTTGACAGTTATATTGTATGAAAATATATTTCCTTGTTATGTTTGTCTAAATTGACATTGATGTTATAAGAAGAAGTATTTCATCCTTTTGTGTTTATTCAAATTGACAAAGATGTAAGAAAAAGTATTTTATTGCTTTGTTTGTTCATTTGGCTGTCCTGAGTGCTGTAATGTCTGTTCTTAACTCATTTCAACAATATGTTACAGAGAAAGAAAAAAAAAAAGAAGTTATTCACCATATTTAGGTTGTTAATTTTTACAATAATTTACAAGAAAACTATTTTACTGTTTTGTTTATTGTATTGATTTTGACAGTATGTTTAAGAAAGGGTCTATCCTCCGAATAACAGTCCCAAATTATTGATATATTATACTCTAACCGGGCCTCAGTCATAATATGTAAATTGCAGACCTCTTTCCAGCGACTATACCGCCACCGGCGAGAGTATCCCCAGCGCCGCTAGGCGCGGCATGGAAGGGGGGGGGGGGAGCTAAACTAAATGGCTGGGACTCACGAGCAAATAAAATGGAGGAAGCTGCAGGAGATGCGGTAGCTGCTGCTCGTGAGTCCCAGCCATCTAGTTTAGCCCACCTCCGGGCCTCGCGTAGCGGCGTGGGGGAAACTCTTGGCGGTGACTTTAACTTGGAGGAAGCTTTTCCGCGGTATGCTGTGTAGTCGCGGTAAAGAGGTTCGCAATTTACATATGACTGAGGCCATGTTAGGGTATTTTTTCGGCCTTGATAATTTGGGACCGCTTTTCAAAGGATAGCCAAGAAAGGATGTCATTAAATTATTTTTGTACATTTCATCAGTGTGTTGCAAGAACATTATTTGCTTTCATGTTTGTTTATTTTATCAGTACGTTGCAAAAAAAAAATTTTTTTTTACTATGTTTTGTTTGTTCAGTTTGTCACTCTTGCTGCAAGGAACCAAAATATGTTACTGTGTTTTGTTTGTTCAGTTTGTCACTCTTGCTGCAAGGAACCAAAATATGTTACTGGGTTTTGTTTGTTCAGTTTGTCACTCTTGCTGCAAGGAACAAAAAATATGTTACTGTGTTTTGTTTGTTCAGTTTGTCACTCTTGCTGCAAGGAACAAAAATATGTTACTGTGTTCATTTTGACTCTGATGTTACAACTGTGTTACAAGAAAAGTATCGCACTGTGTTTGTACTTTCATCAGTAAGTTTGCAAGAAAAGTATCTGACCCTGTTTTGTTTGTTCATTTTGACTCTGCTGTTAAAAGAACTGTATTTCACAATGTTTTCTTTGTTGACTTCCAAAGGCTGGGATCAAATACAGACTATTGACTCACTCCTACGTAAAGGTGGTTTCAAGGGACCAATCACAATCGAAGTGCGCAAGTCTATACGACTGACTCGTTATCGCAGCGAAAAAATCACCATTGCCTATACCGACTATGTTGCTCAGAAGCAGAACGGTAATGCATGATGTTACGCCAGCCTCGAAAATAGGCAGCAGAAGCAGGAGCAGCACCAGTCCAACACCGCCATCATCATCATTAGTGGCATTATCATTATCTTTACTATCGTCAATATTATTTTTGTGGTTATGACTATTGAAGCATCTTTGTAAATGTGTTTTTTTGTATTTGTTGTGCACATGACATGCGTGATGGTGGCAGAAATCACACTGCCATCTCTGGAATCTCTCTGGACATTTTGAATGCAATTGAGGACGGAGAAGGTCTTTGTCAAGTTCCAGTTGTTTGTTATGGGTATTTATAGTATTACTGTTGGGCATCTACTCCTTAGTGGTCTTGAGGCTTTATACACACCAGAGATACAACATTGCTGGCGACACAAGATGAGAAGATCTTTGTGAATTGACTGTGTAGGGGTATTGAGCCTTTTCACACACCAGGGATACACAGTGTTGATGATATACACATTAAAAAGATCTTTGGCAGTTACCCTGTATGGGTACTGAACTTTTTTTTACACACCAGCGATATACATTGTTGATGATATAAGGTGAGAAAATCTTTGACAGTTGACTGTGTTGGGGTATTGAGCCTTTTTACACACCAGCGATGCATATTGTAGATTATATGAGAAGATCTTTGGTGGTTGACTCTATAGAGCAGTGGTTCTCAGCCTGCTGGTCGCGACCCTTTTTTGGGTCGAATGACCCTTTGACAGGGGTCGCCTAAGACTATCGGAAAACCTATATTCATTGAAGTTATGAAGGGAAATAATTGTTTATGGGTTGCCACAACATGAGGGAACTGTATTGAAGGGTCGCAGCATTAGGAAGGTTGAGAGCCACTGCTTTAAAGGTATAGATGATGCTCATAGTTGATAACACACCAAGTATTGGGGGGGGGGGGGGGCAGTCACAATATGAGACTGACTGGGTCTTCTTTAGAATACTAAATCAAAAGTAAATAATAGATTTTGATATGCTGTCAACAGTCCAACTCCTTAATTTAAACGTTTAAATCTGGCTTTATAGCCTGTAAAGTTTAGTATTCTGAGTTCCGAAACAAAACAAACAAAAATTGCACAAAAAGTATACTTTTGTTGAAAAATTAGGTCTATAACAAATTTTTATGTTATCAAAAATTAGCTCTTTCAGTACCAGAAGATATTGTTTTAAATACTTAAGGAGATAACAGACATGGTGAAGAGAACATGAGTGTATTACTTTCAGAGAGACATTATATACTGTGCTATATGTTAGCATAGCCAGATTTCTTTAGCATGCTCAAACCAAATGTAAAATCCATATTTACACTCCTTTCATTGTTTGATACACACTGAATATAGATGATCACACAGTGTACATTGGTTGGAGCTGAAAGATTTAACTTGCATGATCATCCTTAGTTATTCTGAATACAATCTCAAGATGCTAACCTGTATCACATGGGCATGGTACATGATCTGTAACTTGTTCCGTTTCACCCCTCTGGGACATGTCCCATTTCACACTGCTGGTACATGTCCAATTTCACACTGCTGGTACATGTCCCATTTCACACTGTAGGCTGCACCCATCAAGGACCAAGAAGAGATAACAGACACAGTGAAGAGAACATGAGTGTATTAATTTCATAGAGACAGTATAAACTGTGCTGTATGTTAACATAACCAGATTTCTTTAGTATGCTCAACCCAAATGTAAAATCCATAGTCACACGCCTTTCATTGTTTGATACACACATTATGTTCCATTTCACACCTCTGGGCCATGTCCCATTTCACCCCTCTGGGACATGTCCCATTTCACATTTCACACTGTAGGCTGCACCCATGAAGGACCAAGAACTAGCAAAATCATATTCGAAACCATATGTCATCATTCAAACAGTCGTCCATGAATTTTAAGTCATTTTTTAGAATATTCACATCTAAATCCTAATTCACCATCCTTTACATCATTAAGCTGAAGTTCAACAACCTGTCCTGCTGTTAACATCTTAGAAAGGACCAATTCCTGTATTAACACAGCTTTTCATAATAAAGACAATTAGTACTTCTCACAATATCCTCATTTATAAAAGAGGAATATATCTGATATTTTATAATTTACAGAAGTAACCTTTATTACAATTCGTGATATCTTTTCACCATGGAGATAAACATCAAATTTCACAGTGTTCTCATTTCTACACCACAACCATTTACTTTCATCTATTCAGAAATTATCCATACTTTCAGGACTAGTTAAAATTTGTGTCAGTCTGAGGTACTGGTCTGCAAATGGTCTCAAATTAAAACACAATCTCAGGGAGTGGGTTTTTCCCACACACATTAATATAATCTGGGTCATAAAAGTCCTTCCATAATGTTCTTAAAGCGGAAAACCATATAGACAAAGAAGTTCTCTACAAGTGTGTTGCGAATGCACTTCGGAATGCCGGGTTCAATCCTAACTGTGGACGGCTTGCTCGTCTTGCGTTGGGTTCGACAGTGGTACCGATATCGGACCGTTCAGAAAGCAATGGCAAACTACTGACCATAAAATTTGTCTAGAAAAACTACAACAGCCAAAATCGGCAACAGATTGGGACAGTATTCTTTTGGTCCCAAGCAGATGCTATTTTAACCCCTTCTGTCCCAAGGAGTTGAGTTTGAAAAGCAATGAATACTTAGGTCTGTGAGAGTTCAACATTGAGACAATAGAAGAGAAATCATTAAACTTTTTAAAGCAAGATCAACTTAAACTTTTGATGGCAAGAAGGGTCTACTTCATTGCATAATTCCATTTGGCACAAGCTCTCTTTGCAAAATGACTGTTTGTTCAGATTCAGAAGGTTAATATAACATGTGTCTGTTAATGAAACCAGCAAGAACAACGCATTTTCTTTGAAATAACCAACAATTGTACAGTGAATTTGTAATTAAAGTTATTTTGCACTGCGGATTCAGAGTTGATGTGTGATTTCTGCCACATTTACTGCTGCCTCGGTTCATGTACGGTGTAGTGTACTTTTGCCTGTCATAGATTGATATTTTACTGGTTGTTTTATATATCACAACAAATTGTATAACAGCTGTGAGTTACTATAGCATTACATGGTTTATACTGTAACAATATATTGTTTATACTGTAACAATATATTATTGGTGTACGTTTCTTTTATATTTGGTTTTCTCCCCCAATGTTACTTGAGTGTAAAAACTCTGGGGGAAACAAGTGTGTGTATAAATGCTTGAACTGGGGTCAGTATATAGTTGAGTGTGCATTTAAAATTCTGCTGTTGATTTGATGTTTGTTGGATGATACTGGATGTAGCTGTTTAGTATGGCTAAAGTGCCTACTGTGTGTGGCTTGTGACACTGTTTGCAAATATCTTGTAGTCTGACATTTAGAACGTGGGATTGGCAAGACTGTTTAATGGTTGATTTTAATGATAAAATGCATTCAGGTATATAACCAAACTAGGTATTTTTTTTTAAAAATTTTGATGACTCAGGTAAATAGTGCTGAAGCGAGCGAGTAACTGCCCTGCCTGGTTTTTAGCTTGTAATACATTGTAATGTAAAACAGTCCTGCTTGTTTGAGCCTGAAGTGTGGGGGCTTCTTCTTTTTTTAAGCCTGTCATGTGGGAAAAAACTCCTTTTATTTTGCATCTGAATTATGAGAGCAGCTGTCCTGCATTTTTTAAAAACTTGTAATGTGAGATAATCTGTCCTGCTTGTTTGATTGAGCCTGAAGTGTAGGAGCGTCTGCCTTGCTTGTTTTAACTCAAAGTATGTAAGTAACCATCCTGCATTTTTTTTTTTTTAAACTTGTAATGTGAGATAAACTATCCTGCTTGTTTGAACCTGTCGTGTGAGCGGAACCCTCCTGTGTTTTTTTTCCTTAAGATTGTAATGTGACTGCTTTTTGTTAAGCTAAAAGTGTAGGGGTGACTACCTTTTTTTTTTTTTTTTTTTTTTAGTTTTAAGTGTGGAAGGTAAAGGTACTGTCCGACTAATTTTTCAGCTTGAAATATGTCAAGCTATTTTCCAGTTTTTTTTTCCAGTTTTCAAAGTTTGAAGTGTGAGAGTTACTGAGTATTGGAAAATATCTGCCTGGCTTTTTAGAGGGTGTCTAGAATGCTAATGTTCTACAGATTTAATAGAATGTTTAGTTACAGTGTGTTAAAGTTTAGGCAGTTCTAAGATTCACTCTAAGAGAGTGTGTTAAATGTCATGATTAAGAATGATAGAGTTACAGATGATGGAAAGAATTACTGTATTGGAAGTGCAGAATGCTGAAATCACAGTATTTAGAGTTTCATGGTGTTAAAAATCTTGATTGATAAAATAGCAGAGTGACAGATTCACAGTATGCTAGAGTATATGATTTTTGCAAAGAGTTGCAGAATGTTACAATCATAGAGAATTAAAGTGAGCCATCTGAGTTACATATGTACCATGTTAGAGAGTTACACAGTACTAGCAATTATAATAAATATTGTATACTCTGAAGATACTAAATATATTGTCTCATTTTTGTTAATTTTGTTGTTGTTTTTTTTTCTTCGAGTTATGTAGGAAAAAGTTCACATAGCACAGCATTTGTTAAGAATAAAATTTATCTAGAGGTGCCAGGAGTGTAGAGTAAAAAAGAATTAGTTGCCAGGAGCGTATAGTTAAAAACAAACAGGTGTCAGGGGCTTAGAGTAAAAACAATCAGGTGTCAGGAGCTTAGAGTAAAAACAATCAGGTGTCAGGAGCTTAGAGTAAAAACAATCAGGTGTCAGGGGCTTAGAGTAAAAACAATCAGGTGTCAGGGGCTTAGAGTAAAAACAATCAGGTGTCAGGGGCTTAGAGTAAAAACAATCAGGTGTCAGGGGCTTAAAGTAAAAACAATCAGGTGTTAGGGGCTTAGAGTAAAAACAGTCAGGTGACAGGGGCTTAAAGTAAAAACAATCAGGTGACACGGCTTAGAGTAAAAACAGTCAGGTGACAGGGCTTAAAGTAAAAACAATCAGGTGACAGGGCTTAGAGTAAAAACAATCAGGTGTCAGGGGCTTAGAGTAAAAACAATCAGGTGACAGGGGCTTAAAGTAAAAACAATCAGGTGTCAGGGGCTTAGAGTAAAAACAATCAGGTGACAGGGCTTAGAGTAAAAACAATCAGGTGACAGGAGCTTAGAGTAAAAACAATCAGGGGCTTAGAGTAAAAACAATCAGGGGCTTAGAGTAAAAACAATCAGGGGCTTAGAGTAAAAACATTCAGGTGACAGGAGCTTAGAGTAAAAATGTTCAGGTGCCAGAGACTAAGAGTAAAAACAATCAAGGGCTCAGAGTAAAAAACAGTAAGTTATCAGGTGCCGGGGATATAGAGTAAAGACAATCAGTCAGCCAAGGGGCTTGAGTAAAAATAATCAGGTGCTTTGAGTAAAAACAGTCAGTCACTTAGGTGCCGTTTCCACAGTGAAACCTGGCTGCTGCCGATCTGCAACATGCTCTTTTTTTCTTGCTTGTACCCTCTTTCAGACTGCTGTTTGACCATTTATTGTAATTATCCTCCTACTTGTAAGAGTAAATAAATCTGTCTCCAAAGCATACAGACTCTTATTCACAAAGCTGTTTTGATATTTACAAGACAAGAAAGGTGTAATAAAGTCTTTCTCTTTTTTTTCCTTAGGATATTGAATCATGTATATGTGACATTATACTTAAAGCTTCCTCTCTTTTTAAATCAGTTAAGTTGAGTCAAGAATTGACATCACAGCACTCAGGGCATTCCCATGCATGCTCCGTCCTCATCTTCAGTAGCAAATGCAGAGTTTCAATACTGATGGTACCAGTCACAATCTGGTTAAAAGTCTGTCTTGCCTTTCCTCTGAGTGTATTGAGCCGGCCAGACCCTCTGGTTACACCCAGGTGTCTCATTTTCTCCAGGCCATAATCATCTTTCTGTGTTCATTCCGTTGCTTGTTCCAAAAAGGCCTTGACCACATCTGCCTTGTAATGTATCAATTCACCACCCAGTGGTACGGATATAGCCAGTCTGTCTGTCTGTTCATTACCCACCACGCCGGCATAGCCTGGAGGAAAGATCCAAAGTATGCTCACCACCCGTGACCTTTCCAGTGAAGCTAGCCACTCTGCTCGAAGCATTCCTGTCTTCACCTTTTTCAGCATGCTTTCAGAGTCTGTTACAATTGCGACATGTTTATGCATCTTGTTCTCTAGCCACAGGAGAGCTGCAGTTATTGCCTCCACTCTCATGCTGGATGTTGTGTCATATGCTAGGCTGTCTTGCACTAAAGATTTTCCATTGGCTTTCGCTATGAACCCCCAAGCACTTCTCTTTCCTCTCAACACTGAACCATCTGTATAGATAATCAAATCACCTTGACCTGAATTGTCGTGAATGAACTGTTGGACTTCCACCTCCGTAGCACCCGCTGGTCACTCTCTGCACTCCCAGCCCAATGTTATCATAACCCTACACAGGTCAGACTTTCCCGCTGGTACTCAGACCCACTCCTGTCCTCACCCAATGTTCTCCAGCATGCATACATGTCTTATTGTGTCTTCTGCTTGAGCCATCCACGATTTTCCCCTTTTCAGCCTCTGACCCTTGCCTGCAGCCAAGGCTTCATACAGAGGGTGTTCCCTGTGTGCAGCTACTCTGAGGTATGACTTAGCTTGCAGCACTTTTAGCCTATCTGCAATAGTCGGCAGTGCAAGGATGTATCGCATGCACACAATAGCGGTGTCTCTTGTACAACCCAGGATCAGCCGCATAGCTTCATTCTGAATGCGCTCCAGTTTCTCTAGCTGACTCTTCGAGCCAGTTAGTAACCCCAATCCAAAGTCAATCACTGAGATGATTAAGTGCTGGTAAATTGTAAACAGCATTCTCTGCTCCATGTCCTTCGCTGCCATATCGCTGATTTTTAAATCAGTTTCCTTTTCTACTTTGAGTGAAACCCCATCCACTTTTTTTGGTCTCTCATTACAGTCACCTTTTCTCAGACAAATGATATTAACTCAGAGAAACTGATGTGCATATCTTTCAAGATTGCACATAGTCTTATAGTTTTAGTTATACTAATTTATTTATAATTTTAAATATAAAAGTGTGAGCAGAATGAAAATAATGTCAGAATCAGAGCAAGAACATTCGGAAGGAAAGTAAAGTGTGATTTTGATACGAAAATTAGTTGAGAAACAGCCATCAGAAGAATGTTTACAACTTATTTTGATACATACAGATGGGTTGAAACAAACCTGAAAAGGAATATGGCTAGTGTGTGATTTTGATAATACACAAATGTGTCTTTCCTGATGCAACAGAGTTCTTTCAGTGTTTAGCTTCTGCATCACCCTTAAATAGGCGGTTTAAATGTTGTGTTTGGTTTACAGCTAGGCTATGATATCTTGACCTTTTGACCCAACGCATCTGATTTCAGCAAACTCCAAATTAATCTCCCACCCCCCATTTCAAATAAATATACACTGTTCTGATCCCTTGTATGATCTTTACAAGAAGGCTGGAAAACTGGGAGATATTCTTGTGCAGTAAAAATGACCCTTCACCAAAAATCTAATTCGCTAGTTAGTCGACAGATCATGCTCCCTGCACATCACAGACTAAGTGCTCGAGTCCCCTTCTCAGTAGATGCCTAAGCACATTGTGGCTGATGATACCAGTTTTCTGTTGGTTTATTTTTCCTCTTTAACTTCCTGCATAGTGCTGTTATCTAGCCTCACCATTTTTTACTTTCTCCTTTCGCAGTCTTGTCATGGTTACAAATTTAGTCATAGTCATCACTTCAATCATGCAAACTTCTAGTAGAGTATTCAGTATGTCAGCCTAGTTCATTGCTTGCCCACTCTCCACAGTAGTCCAATTGAAGTGATCATTTTGCTATCCAGTTTCATCCTTTTTAGGACAAATTTTTTTGTTATTTGAAGCCCCACCCTGGCTTTCCTCTTACACTTGCATGCCCTGGTACAAAAATGGAATTGATCTTTGTCAGCATCACTACCCGTCTAAAGCATGAAGACTATCTGTACCTGACAGTTCTATAGAGTTAAATTATCAGCACAGCCTTGAAAATATGATGCAAATCAAATTAACAAGAGGATCCACTGGCCACTAAGTGTGCAGCAAAAAAGGCAAGACCACAATATAACCAGACTACTACTTTACTTAGTCCTCTTCTACCCTGGGTTGTAGAGGATTGCTAGAGGCATCGCCAGATTTTTCTGCCAGCAGTTTTTTTTTTTTTTTTGAAAGGGGGTGGGGAATTTGTTCTAGTCTGTAAACCGTGCCAGTTTTTTGCCCTCCGGTATTCTCTCTGTGATAACTGGCAATCATAGTTTTAGGCAAACAGGTGATTTTCCTGTTGTTCCTTTACATGGTGGAGAGGCTGCCTCCAAGCAGGCTGTGTGGTTGATTTGTCACTTTACTCACCACCTCTGGCATAAAACCCTCAGGTTCAGCCAGACCCTCCACCTTTTTTCAGCTGGACATGGGACTAGTTTAAGCTGCATTATAACCAGCTACAGTTGGCATTATCAGTATGGAAACTGCACTAGATTCTGAAGTGTGAAAAAAGTGTTTATAAGAATGTTTTAAATGCCATGATGCTATTTCTCTACCCTTGAACTCTTAGCATAATTAAAACCACTGTTGCTTTAAACTAAAAGCAGGTGGGTCTTACGGAATTCAAATGATAGTATTGAACAGCATAACTCAATGTGACAACTGCAACAGAGTTCGTTAATTAAACTAAATGAGAAGTGGGTAGCATATGAAGAGTAACTAATTAATGCTTGGTAATTTTTTTTTCTAAATGTAATAAAAGTTGATTTTAGGAAAGGTGACTTGTGTTCTATATTTTGTAAGACCTACATAACAGTTGTATTTTTAGAGATTTGTAAGGTGAATTTGTGTAGAATTTAGATAATGGTTGACCGCTATGTATGCAAGTTACAACATATAAGAATACTGTTTCTGCAATTTGCCTATAGTAATGTACAGTATGTAGAAGGGGGAGTGTCAGGTGCGAGTTGCAACACTGAAGAATCTTGCATCTACAAGTCATAGATAGTAGATGTTGAAGATAGGGAGAATGTTGTATCACAAAAAAAGTGTACAAGTCAAATATTCTGCAGTGAATTCACAAGAAAACGATTCACTGTATAAATCACAAGACAAATGTTGTGTATTGATGAATCCGCAAGGAGAATGTTCTGTATTGATGAAGTCACAAGAAGAATGTTGTGTGTTGATGAAGTCACAAGAATTTTGTTGTGTGTTGATGAAGTCAAAAGAAGAATATGTACTGATGAAGTCACAAGTAGAATTTTGTCAGTTGATGAAGTCGCAATAAGAGTGTTATGTGTTGATGAAGTCACCAGAAAAATGTTGTGTGTTGATGAAGTCACAAGAAAAACGTTGTGTGTTGATGAAGTCAAAAGAATAATATGTACTGATGAAGTCACAAGTAGAATTTTGTCAGATGATAAAATCGCAATAAGAGTGTTGTCTGTTGATGAAGACACAAAAAGAATGTTGTGTGTTGATGAAGTCACCAGAAGAATGTTGTGTGTTGATGAAGTCACCAGAAGAATGTTGTGTGTTGATGAAGTCACCAGAAGAGTGTTGTGTTATTGAAGTCACCAGAAGAATGTTGTGTATTGATGAAGTCACAAGCAGAAGTTTGTGTGTTGATGAAGACACTAGAAGAATGTGGTGTATTGATGAAGTCACAAGAAGAATGTGGTGTATTGATGAAGTCACCAGAAGAGTGTTGTGTTATTGAAGTCACCAGAAGAGTGTTGTGTATTGATTAAGTCACCAGAAGAATGTTGTGTGTTGATGAAGTCACAAGAAGAATGTTGTGTGTTGATGAAGTCACCAGAAGAATGTTGTGTGTTGATGAAGTCACAAGAAGAATGTTGTGTGTTGATGAAGTCACCAGAAGAATGTTGTGTGTTGATGAAGACACCAGAAGAATGTGATGTATTGATGAAGTCACCAGAAGAATGTGGTGTGTTGATGAAGTCACAAGAAGAATGTTGTGTGTTGCTGAAGTCACAAGCAGAAGTTTGTGTGTTGATGAAGACACCAGAAGAATGTGGTGTATTGATGAAGTCACCAGAAGAATGTTGTGTGTTGAATGCACACAAAGAATGTTGTATGTTAAAAGCACAAGCTAAATAATATGTGTTAAAGTGACAAGTTAATATCTGAGGGTACATGACAAATGGAATAATACTGTGTGTTGAAGTCACAAGGAAAAAAAACTGAGCACACAGTATTTATGGTGAATAGCAGTGACCATGCAAATATTGTCTGGCATTTGTGATTAGCATTAGAATGTTTACACAGTGTCAATTGTCATCTTCAAACTCATATTCCCTTGTTGTTCGAGGTTTCTCTCAGGTAGTAATTACCATGTGATAGTTCATAAATCTAGCATGGTTTTCCCCGCCCCTTTTTAAAAAAACTGATGCATTTCTGTTTTTCCTTCTTTTGTTTGTGAGGATTTTATCTTTGTGCAGACTTCTATGCAGTCATGAGGTCTGTAAAGTTACTTTGTGTGAAAGTTGACGAAACAGCATTTCCCTTGTATTTGCGCTGGCTAAGTCTAAAATAAGAATACCAGTTTATGATTTGAAACAATCCATAAGTTTAAACTTTACTTATTTGTATTCTTGCTATGTTATCTTTTTATGTATCTGTTACACGTATATTACGTGATTTTACAGAAGTAAAGGAATAAATTGTGGTCTTGGTTTCTGTAAAATCTTATTCAGACATTATTTCAACATCAGCTAGTACCAGATAGCAGAACATTATTATTTGATTGCCATGATTTCTCCTGTATCTGTTACATAATAATTTTTGAAGAGTTCACAAAATGGTGTTTTAATTTCTGTGTGGCCTCATTCAGAAATTATTTAAACAACTTGTTATGTTATTTAGCAGTATTTGTCTATTTTGTGTGTGTATGTGTGTGTGTGTACAGATTCTACCAAAATAACGTAATACATACTTTTTAACAGATGTCAATTGTGGAATCTTCTTGAAAGTTAGATCTTTTTTTGTTGTTGACCTTAACTCTTTGAGTCCCGGGGGTTTAGCATCGCAAGGCCCAGGGGGTAGTAAAAAGAGTCATAAAATCGGCTCATCATGCGTTCATTGGGCTTCTAGGTAGGAACCTATGAACGTATGATGCGTTCCTTGGAACTCAAAGAGTTAAAAGACCAGTTAATACATGTAGTTTTCAGCTAGGCTGCGATATCTGTATCTTTCAGCGAATACATTCAGTTTCTGCAAACTCCTAATTAACCACCTTTTATGACATGCTTCGGGAAGTGGAAAGGGGGTTTATTCTTCTATCCACCCCCACCCAAATGGAGCTGCATATCCCACATGGGGATAGGTTATATTGATTTGAGTACCAATGTTCCCCCCACCCCCTCCCCCCAGCAAACACTGCTTAGCAAAGGACCGTTTTTCATGCCTTCAAGCTTATTGGGCATATAGGGCTAGCTATTTTATAGACCAGTTAGCACTCGTTGAGTGATGTGGTCAAAATCGCACTGGCCGCCTTTACTTCCGAGGAATTTACCTTAGGGAGTTGATCTGGGAAGCGAGGTCATTTCAGAAACAAAATCCGGCTCCATATGGACACATGGGCACGAGTTAGATTGATTTAACTCTTTCAGTCCCAGGCATGTGTTATTTTAACTCTTTATGTGATAAGATGCCAGATACTATCTAAAACACTAAATTACTTCAAGTTACAAACCAAGAAATTCTACACAGTGTGATAACAAAGAGAAGATTGTAATGGCTTTGCCACATTATGGGAATGAGTCCTGATATACCTGCCAAACAGCTTTCACATGAACACTAGCAGGAAAGAGAAAGAAGGGGTACCCAAAAACAACATGGGGCTGAATGATGGAAAGTGAACTGAGTGCTGAATCTCCGACATGGAAAACTGCACTGAAGATTGCACAGGGCAGGAAAGCATGGAAAGTCCTCTCTGAAGCCTTATGTGCCACTAGCATAAAAGAGAATTGATGTCATAAGAAATTCTTAATTAATGTAATACATATTTCTAAATGAAGTAATTTAAACATAAATGCTAGGTGTCAGAAAGGGTTAAAGTAACTAGCTGCAGATTTAGTTGATGTAACAACTGGCTGGGGGTAGTAAAAGAGTTTAAAGCACAAAAACAGAAACCAACATACACAAGACGAGTTGACTGGTACTGAAAGAGATAAGTAGCAATACTATCATCGATCGGACCCATATAGCCATTTTTTAAATGTCCCCTTTTTGAGGGCCACATGGGCATCAGCCATATGGTGTTTGATCCATATCTTTGTAGACCAGTCAGCACTTGACGGATGATATGGTCAACATCATGCTGACTGCCTTTACTTTCCAAAACATTTCCTTTTTGCCTATTTTAGTCTGGGTTGACTTAGGAGTCATTTTCTTTTTTGACATCTCACTGACACCAGGTTGTAGCCCAGTGTCATGGTTTTCGATGTTTGTCTTGCGCTTCTCAGGTAGTTTGGGTGATGGATTTGTTCAACATTTTGTAGGTTTCAGCTACCTGGGAGTACAGCCATTTATTAAAAAAAATATGCAGATTTGTACCCAAGACATTTAAGCCAGTAGGCAAGCATCTAGTCATTGCGGCATCAATGGCCAGCGCGACCCAAGCAGTGATTCGCTGTAATAGGTGCTTTAAAGCTAATAGAAGCACTTTCGGCCTCCTGCTATTCTTGTGGTGAACACTGGCTGTAAACTTAGGAGGAATGTTCTGGTTGTTTGTCCACTTCTGGACTTTAGTATTTGTTGCAGAGCTTGAGTTTTACATGCTCATCCATTTTGCAGATCTGCCATATTTGTATAGAGTCTGTTGCTTTCACCTCAGGCTTGCACCCAGACTTAGAGAAGAAATCATCCCTAATTAATTGTCTTTTACAACCTTTGGTGGAGGTGTGGGGGGGGGGGGGGGGCGCACACACACACTCTCCCTCTCTCACATACACACACACACACCCAAATGGGGCCCTGGAACCCACCACACCAGAAGCAGCACCTTGTATAATTGTAGAGATTCACTGATAACTTTTTTTTTAAAAATTCCTTGATGTCTGTTTAAATTAAGTATTAATTTGTTTAGCAAACATTGTGTATAGATCTTGATGTCGTGTATATTATATAATGTGTTAGTTCGGGGAAACCTCAAACTGGATATTTCCTCTGCCACATGAGTAAATGACCCAGTTTCCCCACCTTGAGGGGTACTCATTTATAATCCTAGCTCCATATTTCTATAGACCAGTCAGGATTTACTGGGCGATGTGGTAAAAATCATGTTGGCCACATTGATTTCCCATGGCATTTTCCTGCCACTCATTTTTAGCTGTATTTACATAAAATATATATATATATATATATATATATATATATATATATATATATATATATATATATATATATATATATATATATATATATATATATATATATATATATATATATATATATATTGCTGAGGAGGATTTAAACCCACTACCACTGGATGAGCACCCAAGCATACTAAACATTTACGCATAACATATATATACATACAAACAGAGAAACATATATATAAGTACAAACGCACATTTATATAAACATATACTAGGATACACACACATACTGTACACACACAGACTACACTCACACACAGTCCACTTTATTCTGTACTAAAGTTAAATATATTTTAATAATAATGTATACTAAAACTGAAATTATTTGTGGTAAATTATGATTTTTGAACAATGAGTGTCTCAGCACACCAAAAAAAAAAAAAAACAATGTGCGCAATGCTGAATAAGTGGTAGTTAAATCTTTAAAAGTAAAAAAAAAAAAAAAAAGATTGATTAAAAGTATGTATGTCACTTGCATGTTTTGTGTTGCTGTCTTTTATATGTTTTGACGTCTCTTTCATTGTTTTTTTTTTTTTAGAGCTTTGTTGCTAATTTCACAAACCTTTGTTAGTATTTGTGATAGTATTACTTCACTGCCTGTGTTGAGCCTTCTATTAATTTCTATTGTGCAGATTTGGCTGCACTACTAAACAACGCCATCATCATCTTGTGCTCTGCTGATAAGTGTAGGGGTTCATGATTGGTAATCTCACAGGATCACCAGTATCACAGATCAGGTCTGCGCTCTTAACCCTCCACATCCATGTGGGTAAGCCAGCTTAGTGTTTTTTTTTTTGTCTTTAGGTGTCCAGTATTGTTTTCTCTTGGCATCCTGAAGAAGATGGTTTGCCATTGCGTTCATTCTTGACAGCAACAATAAAGTAGAGGATATATCTACTGCTCATATTTGCCACTTAGGGGGGGGGGGGTGTTAGATTGAGGTTTTAGTACTGCATGGCTACCACAGTCGCCACAAATTGCAGATTAGGATTTTTGCTCTCAACAGAGTAATCTCCATCCCTTAATGAGAGTTGAATCCTGGTCTTTAATCGCGTCTTTCTTTTCTTCTGTCGTCCTACTGCTTCTGCTGTAAAGCGTTGCAGAGAAGGTGTGATTCTCGTCCTTTGCTAGTTGAGTAGTTTATTTGAAGTTTATTCAAGTAGTTTATTAAAGCTAGTTTATTTTTTGTGAGCATATTTTTTTAGCCATCGTTTAATTTATTTTATTTATTCAGTAACAAGTGGACATTAACAGGCATCAGGTAACAACAGTGGTTGTTACTAACGTGAAAGATTTTAATGATAGCATTAGAGAACCACAAGATGTTCAGCAACGTAACACAGGATTTGAACATCATAATCAAGCAAAAAACACAGGAATAAAACAATCTACCAAGTTAATCATCACCCTGCTGTTTATACATTTTCTAGAGCTCTCAGGCTGTTCCTCCATTGTGTTCTATCTTGTGCAAATCTCTTGGATGGAATCTAGTCGAGCACCTTTCATATCTCTCATCAACATCCCCAGGTTCTTTACAGAACGTCACCCTCGTCATAGCACACCTGATAGTCTCTCTTTCTCTAGCCAGTTCCTCAGTTCTAGAGTGATCAGTGATTAAAAAGGATTATCATCACAGCACTCCGGACAGATTCATAGTTGCTCCGATCTCATCAAAAGCTCCACAAATGTAAAACGACTGATGACGCATGTTCTGTGTTGGTTAATGAAACGTCTTGTCCCCTTAATGAAATGTTCAC